ATCGGAAGAAGGGAATTGCGTCAGGAGAGGTGTGCTCTTTTTTTACTTTCAAATGCATTTTTTTCTGGAACTTCTCAGTTGTTGTTTCTGTAACTTGACTGGGATATGAAACAGGAACTAAATTGTTATACCGACTACTTGCTTTCTGAAGCAAAAACGCTTACATCAGAGCAAATAGCTATGTTGCTTTGGGAGACGATTATCGAGACAGCGGATACAACATTGGTAACAACAGAATGGGCTATGTATGAAATTGCTAAAGATTCAAACCGACAGGTACTTTTAATTTCAGTCACTAATTTTTCCGGATGTTATATGCTTTTTTTAAAAAAAATTTGGTTTTATCTGTAACTGATATTGGTTGCCTCTTTATGAAACAGGGTCGTCTCTATCAAGAAATCCAAAATGTTTGTGGATCCAACAAGATCACTGAGGAACATTTGTCCCAACTTCCATACCTGAGTGCTGTTTTCCATGAAACTCTAAGGAAGCACAGTCCAGCTCCGATAGTTCCTTTAAGATATGCACATGAAGATACCCAATTAGGAGGTTACTATGTTCCTGCTGGATCAGAGGTAATTGATAAACAAATATGCCATGAGACTTCTCATCTCTCATTTTATTTCATTTACAGATGTTATTGATCTTTCAAGTAACTTGTAATGTTCAGATTGCTATTAATATATACGGGTGCAACATGGACAAGAATCAATGGGAAAGCCCTGGAGAATGGAAGCCGGAGAGATTTTTGGAGCCAAAATACGATCCAATGGATTTGTACAAGACCATGGCATTTGGAGCTGGAAAGAGGGTTTGTGCTGGTTCTCTTCAGGCAATGCTAATAGCCTGCACCACAATTGGTAGGCTGGTGCAGGAGTTTGAGTGGAAGCTGAGAGATGGAGAGGAAGAAAATGTTGATACTGTTGGGCTCACCACTCACAAACTCCACCCAATGCATGCCATCCTAAAACGAAGAAATTAGCCTCGAGCTTCGTTTTTGTTCCAAGCCCACAAGTTGTTTGTGGCTGAGGCCTTTGCGTTGCTTATTGCCTAGACTTTTTCTTTTCTTTTCCTTTTTCTAAATTTAAGATGATTCTGGGCTTTATCAACTTCGTTATGCCATCTGAAAAACAAATGTAATCACACAGGTGAATAACTTATGAAGTATCAGCATCCTTTTGCCTTCTTTATCTTTTCTGCATTCAAACTTCGTTTATGTTAATTACTTCTGATTCTGGTGCATGTAATTAAGCATGAAGCTGAGACTACATATTAAAATGGGACCAGAAAATGATGTGAGACTGCCAATTATTATAGAAATATTGTCCTTTTATGTAATCTGTAACTACCTCATACCTGAAGTTATTGAAGAAATAAATGGGCAATGACATTATTTCAAGTTCACAGTAGAAACAAGAATGTCTTGTTCATAAGTACAGCTAATTATTTCTTCTATATATCTAATAAAAAGGTTCTGCATTTGCTGTCCACAGAATTTGTCACACCAGTGATGGCAAGGCAACATTATTTAAGCCTCAGCAAAGCAAAGGTCATACCATGAATTAAAATAACAAGCAGAGGGTAGTTGTGTTTCAAGGAAACTTCATGAACGACAATAAACTTACTAGTGCCAAGCAAATAAATCACAAGTGAGTAGGCAAATAGTTTGTTTGGCATTTTCGTGATAATAATTGTGTTCATGGTCGGTTGTGTGTGAGGCCAAAACGGATAAGAAAAATATGTGAATTAGTCAAACCGTCCAGCCTCAATCTCTGGCCTAGTCCTTGATCTACATCAATGTGATGGGTTGGGTTTGGTGGGCACTTCTTTCAGCATCACATAAAAAGACACAGGAAATTTTAGAATCAGTATCAGAGCTGTCGTTTATAAACTTTTGTTGGGAAGTAAATGCACATTTTGAATGCCACTGAAAGTTTGCATAGTTATTACTAACATCCAAATCATGCAAGTAATTACATGTTTCTGCATTAATTTATTTCTTTCCCACACCAACACTGCAAGAATCAAATTGGTATGTCTATGTTTCTTTTTTGCTTTCTTGTTGGGTTACGAATTTTCTCTGTAGGAATTTTTTTTTTTCTTTTTTTTCATGGCATTTCTGTAGGAAAGTTGACATGCAACAACAGCGAGAGGCCAAAGGCAAAGGTGTGATGAATGAACTAGAGGGCATGCCACACCACACCAAACTTTTCTTTATTATGAAAATCATTGCAAAAAACATTCTCCTCTTGTGAAAGGAAAAGAAGAAAAAACCAATAAATAATGGATGCAACTAGCAAGTAGGTCACTGTATAAAGTAGACAAATTAAATTATGAATGTGAGAAGAAATGTAATTTAATATGGGCAAGCTCATGGGTCCACCACTGAAGACTATTTCTCTCCTTGATGAGTTTGGAGTGTGTACAGTAATGTAGAGCGGTGTGTATAGAAGTCACCTTTGAGCAGTCAAAACTGAAAAAATCTGACAGAGAGAGTGGCAAACAAATCACACACACATATGTGATTGACAGCGACGTATAAAGAAAAGAGGTAGAGGAGAGACAATCCTGCAGGATGCGGCCCACCCCCCTTCTTTCTTTCCTTTGAGCTGATAATGAGCTTTGGCTTGGCCATTGACTGGCTGCTGGAGCCGCTAGCCTTTCTAGCGCACTGCACGACGAGTCGTTCATCAACTGACCAGGTCAAGTTTTATCATATATATATATATATATATATGGCCTTGAGCTCAATGATCAGCTCCGACGAATGAGGTCAGATTATTTCAATTTACAAAGGCCGGCCCGCGTGCAAGTCTATGCCACGAGAAAAACTTCCCTTCTAAACTTCTTTTTAAAAAAGGGAATAAAATGAAATGAAAATAAAGAAGTATTTATCCTAAGTGTGGAAAAAGTGAATGAATATCATGTGCATGCAGCATGATAAGATATATATATGAAACACGAACATAAATAATGTGACACTCTTTATATATATATATATATATGTATTAACAGGAAGTACATAGGTAGAAGTGGGAAAGAGAAGCAAAGAAGGAAATGAAAGATTGTGATGGAGATGAGTCACGGGGAGCGAGAAAATGAGGCACAAGGGGCAGAAGGGTGAGAGAAAGTCACTTGGGCCCCAAGCGAAAGGATGAGAAGAATCTCTGAGGCCTCTTAAGTTATAGGGATGCAGTTATCTGCAAGACTTAAGTATGTAGGCTGTTCATGTAGACATGCAGGCATATAGGTAGAAGAGCTTAGACTAGACACCAGACAGCACGAGAATAGGTGACTACTGATACTGACCTCAGGCACACACCTCCCCAGAAGACAAGAGGAGAGAAAAATAAAGAGCATAGAAAGAGAGCGCAAGGAGGCAAACCCAATAATTGCTTCCCACGCTGCCCGACACCCATCATATTGTCGGTCTTCTCCTTCTCTCCCTAGTCGACGGTTGGACCTTTTTTTCCATTCTTTTTCCACTTCCTTTTCTTTTCCATATCTTAAGTACGAGTTGGAATTGAATTTAAAACCTCTGCATGCGTAAATACACTTAACTCAAACGAAAATACTAAGAAAACTACACTAATCTATACAATATTTGTTGTTGGAGGTGGAACCTAGTTGTAGTGGTCTTCCCTCTCCCATCCTTCTCCCCCTCGCCATGCCTATAGCTTCACCACATACAGATACAACATTATTAACAGTAAACGCCCAACTTTTTAATATTTGTGGTCGAGGAGGATGACATGAAGCTGGTCTCGTCTGGTCCCATGCATTTGCAATTTGCACCACTTGACTTGAGGTTTTTTTCTTTTTCTCTCTCTCTTTTTTTAATTTTTATGACATTAAGTTGAGTAGATTTCACGCCAATGCTTTCCTGATACGCCACCCCACCCAGCTTCCCACCCTCCACGTCACCACCAGCCGTACTTCCTCACAGTAAAAGTAAAAGTAAAAGCAAAATGAGATAAAAATGATGAATAATCAATTCACATGTAAAAACCAAATAATTAATTAGCATCAAAATTAGGCGGTAATTGAGCTAAGCCACGCGTCGCGCCACCTTCAACATAGTACACAATCCCCACACAGAGAGAGAGAGAGAGCAGCCAGCCACAAATTAAATGAAGCAACCTTCACAATTACACTCTCCTCCATAAAAACCTCTCACTCCTTCCAAAACTTCTCCTCCTCCCCCTCTCCAATCTCCACACATCTCTCTTTGTTCTGGAGAAACCCAAATGCCAAAACCCCTCTCTGACAACGACACCAACCACGATGCCGTTTGAATCTGAAGACAATAATCAAAAGCCACCCTCAACGACGACGACGACAAAAGTCCAACAAAGCATGGGTCACCAGCCACCGCCCCAAACCGACCCGCTTCACTGCCCGCGCTGCGATTCCACCAACACCAAGTTCTGCTACTACAACAACTACAACCTCGCTTAGCCCCGCCACTTCTGCAAGTCCTGCCGACGCTACTGGGCCCAAGGCGGGACCCCTCCAACAAAGCATGGGTCACCAGCCACCGCCCCAAACCGACCCGCTTCACTGCCCGCGCTGCGATTCCACCAACACCAAGTTCTGCTACTACAACAACTACAACCTCGCTCAGCCCCGCCACTTCTGCAAGTCCTGCCGCCGCTACTGGACCCAAGGCGGTACCCTCCGCGACGTCCCCGTCGGCGGCGGCTCCCGCAAGAACTCCAAGCGCTCTCGCTCCACCACTTGCTCCTCCTCTTCCTGCTCGCCTTCCTCTTCCTCGCTCACCCAAGAGGTCACCTCAGTCGCTACAGTGAAACCCGTTTCCTTATCCGCTGAAGTGAAGCCAGAGCCGGCCTCAGATGTGGACCATTTGATGGACCTGAACGAGAACGTGGTCGGGAACGGGGGTTTTACTTCGCTGTTGAATTCTCAGGGGCCACCTCCACCTGGGTTCTTGGCGCTTGGTGGGTATGGCTACGGGTACGGGTACGGGTCGGCGTTTGGTCACGGGCTTGATGAAGTGGGCGATGCTTTTGGCCATGGCGGCAAAGGGGTTTGGGCTTTTCCTGAGGTCGGTGATTTTCCAAGTACTGTCATTGACCATAACAATAACAATGGTGCTCCTTCCGGGTGCAACACGTGGCAGATGACGACCAGTGCTGATGGTGGATTTGTCGATGGGGATTGCTTTGCTTGGCCGGAGCTTGAGATTTCCATGATGCCTGCTTCAGGCAAAGCTTTCAAGTAACAGAAACACTCTTTTCCCATTTCCAGAATTTCAACAAAACAAAAAAAAATCATTTTCCTTTTTCTTTTTTCTTTCTGAGTTATGGGTTTTCCGAGTCGTACTGAAATTGTGGGTCGTATACTTGGTTTCTTAGTCTTTCTGATCATCTGATGGTCCTTTTTTGGTTTTTGGGTCAGAGTCTCTGTGGTGGGTATAGAATAGATCACTATAGGTTGCAAAAGGTAGTTGCTTTTGGTTACTTCTTTTCGTCTTAGGGTTTTGTTTGTACTGGCTTTGTAAATCTTTTGGGACTACCACCTGTCTTTGACAGAAATGCTGCAAGAAAATGGACAAAAATGACTGCTTTTTGGGTATGTTGCATTTACTTTGCATGCTATAGTTCTTTCTTTCTTTCAATTTGAACTTCTGGGATGAATTTGCATAAAAGCATGAATCTTTGCACCTTTAGACTTCATCTTACAAGCAATCGAGTGAATATATTTGTTGGGTAAAGAATTGAACTTCGTGTATGAGCTCTGATACGTAAGTAATTAATTAATCTGTGTTGTGTGAAGAAGATGGCAAATTTGGATGGATATTGAGGCCAATTTCAGTTAGTTTAACCGAGTGATCAATTTTAATTCCTCTATAATTGGATCATTCTTGGATTTGTCTACCCAAGCGCACATCGGCACATGAGCCATGATGAATCGAGTCCCGCACAAAATTAACTTGGTGGATTTGATTAAATATTATGAGAAGCCAGACATGAACCGACAGTTTTAAAGGGATTAGCACTAATAAACTGTATGCTTACTTAAGAAATGGACAACTATAAGTTAAAAATGGTGTTAATTAGAATAATGGTGCACCGAAATGGTTTTAATTTGAAATTGATACGACCAAAACCCTGCAACTCAGTTTCTAAGGTTTTATGTTCATCTGCTCAGTTCTGTATTGAATATTCTGTGTAGTTTCCCGTTTGGCATTATATACTGAAATGGGAGACTTTGATTTTGATTTTGAACTAGATGCCACCGACCAGGGACCACGTGTTGCATGGTTCATTGTGTCGTGGATAATGCCGAAAGCTGACAGTGCTTCATTTGGAATTAGAATAGCTTTTCTGCTCGATTCCATTGCAATGCAAGAGAAACTTCCCTTTCTCCATATGGTTTCATTACTTCTATCACCCGTCACAGTCACAGGTGAAAGATAGAGAGAATGAGATAATGAAACCGGAATAGGGAAGTAGTTTTGCTCTAAAGTCGAACCTCTAGTTTGATGGGTTCGATTGGACTGAGATTCTTTCAATTAAAATGAATAATATTTCTGACCGTTGTTTGGTGTGCTGCTGAGATTTGATTTATTAAATTAGACAATAGTTCAACATATTAGGTGGGACTCATAAAGACTAGTTTGGACTTCCAATCTCCAAACCGAACCATGAATTTAACTTATCCAAGGTCTCTCCTAGTGTCTAAAGTTCTTCTTTTATGTTAAGAATTGATTATTGTTTATATTAAGTAATTGATCGGCTCTCCGTAAGTTATTGTTAAGATTATGATCGTTCCTTGATTTGTGGTTAGGGTGAACTGAGGGTAAATCCAGTGCATCCTGCATTTCTCCCCTTGAAGTTTATTCTAATCTCCAAACCCACTCGTAGGTTTCCAATCTAAGCGGTGTCGTGTGTTTTCTGATTTTATATTGATGTCCCATTTGGGCATTGGTTTAACATTGCTGGCAGCACAGCACATACAGAATAATATAAAGATGAATTAGAACAATCATGTTCTGCTGCATAAGTTAACGTCCGTTGTTTGTGCTACAATCAATCAATCGAATCGAATTTAAGCACGGAGATATCCACCACAACAATCCATGCATGCCCAGATGCACTTTTCAAATTACTAAATTAAAATCATAATTAAAGATAAGATACTATAATTATTAACCTCTGTCAGGTGGAGTCATCATTCTTGTTGTAGGGATATTTGTCACCCCTACCCCCCACCCAACCAAACATGCCTTTCCCTCTTCATCTTAAATTAAGGATTGCCATCATTCTTAATTTTTTTTTAAAATAAACACAATTGTACAAGTGCATGAAGCAAACCTCCTCATTTTCCTCGAAGCATCCATTATCATTGCAAATCCCACTCCACATTACATCCGACATTATTACTTGATTAAATAAGTGCTTAAGGAGTTGGTCGACATGTATTTAGAGCACTCTCATTAATTTATTATGGCAAAAAACAAGAGAAAGTAAGGGCATTTACTGTTCACGTGACTAGTATATGTCATAGCAATATTTTTGTTGTTTTTCCCCTAATTACCATGACAACTCGAAGGCAATCACTATTCACATGAGATTAATTTTATTTATATGTATGAGATTAATATATATATATATAATTAATTGGTTTGTATACAAAAAAATATATATTATGGATTTTTTTGGTAATTATTCAGAATTTTTTTCAATTTTTTTAATTAAAATTTTGTCCTTGATGTCAGTGCCCTTACACAACAGCTAGGATTGTTTTTGCCTTCGGACCTGCTCAATTTTGGTGGAGCCCAGCCTACCATCTGCCATTGCTGGATTTGATCGTTGGAGTGGTTTCTTTGGAGGGGGCCCTTTTGCCCTAGCAAGTTCAACCACTTGACTTGCTCTTAGAAGCCTCCAAAAAGAGCAACTCCACCCATTTGCCCTTAGTCATGACAAGGGGGGAGATAGGGCAGTCACTATTCATGTGAATAGTGGTTGCCATTACAAATAGTATTTTGTGTTTCCACCCGTTGCTATGGCAAAGGGCAACTACTATTCATTTTTTTATTTTTTTCACAAATTTTTTTACCTCAATAATTAATTTGGATAATATTTTCGGGTTCCTACACGTCAATACTATTCATATCTCATAATCGGATAAAATTTTCAATTTCAAATTTTAGATAAATTGTAAAAAAATTTGGCTGGTATTTATAGAAAAAAATTTCATTAATTTTTGGGTATTTTTTTAAAAAAATATCGAATTTTTTCAAGTATTTTATTGCAAAAAAATTGGCTGCCGTTGAATTGGAGAAAAAATCAGATCGGAGAGCCCAGACGACGCCACGTGGCAACAGAAAAAAAAATCAAATGAGTGGGCTGACGCCAGCCTGGCGTCAGCAATGATATCAGCCCAGCCCTCGAGCTTGAGCTCGGGCTGAACTAGTCTGAGGGCCAGCCCGACTTCGTGGGTCCCACTCCCAACTCGGGCTTGGACTCCTCGCTGGAACTAGGTTTTTTTTCTTTTCTCCCCCCAGCCTCTGGCTGGGCTTGTCACTGGAGTTGCTCTAAGGGTTTCTCACTACCAATTAGTAAGACATAGGGAAGGCTTAGGTAGGTTTTAGGTTTAACTCAAAATCATCACAAGTAGATAAATTTTTGAGGTTTGGTTTATGTATTGCGAGGGATTTTCATATTTGTAGTTTTTGTATTTGTTTTTGTGTGTTTGTAGTTCTTTCACTCATTATTAGTCCCGGTGGCGATGTCTCGGTCTTCATGGAAGCAACGACAGCAGTACTTTGGCGTTTGGTGATGTTTTTGCTTTTGGTTAGCTCTGGCTTTATGCTAATTTTGGACTCGGACTTTATGTCAGTTTTGAGCTTTGGCTTTTTGCATGTTTGAGTTTTATTTCTAATGGGTGTTTACTATTGCATTTGTTTGGACTCATTTTTATAAGTTCCACTATCATGTAATTAGCATTGCCTTTCTATTAATGAAACTTGATTCCGACTTTAAAAAAACACATAGCCAATTTCTATTCTATTGTATAGTTTAGGTAGGTCAGGTTGGGGCCAAATCAAATTAAACTTACCCAAAAAACATACAGTGAAAGTGGGCCCAATTCAACTTATAAGTTATAATGACCCAAAAGCATGCAATGAAACTGGGGCCAATCCAAATTATAGTCCAGGCTGACTTTTCTTCTTTGAATACTCATTAGAGAGGACCACAAACAGCTCAGGTGGAAGGGCTATGTAAGTATATAAAAGTATCTGTTACAGAACCAGAACAAACTTACCAACCATTACACCATTTAACTATGTGCCACAAAAGAACACGAATATGTACCCACAAGACGTATTTAACTTGCAGCAAAGCAACAATGTTTATAACATTCTTAACAAATTTTGAAGAATTATGAAGCAGGGGCCTTTGAAACATCAATTAGGCGGCTTGAAGAACTTCAATTTAAGTCCACTGTTGACCATGCTCCACACGCCTCCAATAGAAAAGGCCAAACTAAACGCAATCCCCAGCCAACCCAAGATCCAATGAAAATACCAGTTAAAGCTGTACTTTGTAGGCTTCTTAATGAGAACCCACATGAAGCAAGGATAGGCAAATGTGACTGGAAGTGTGAGTCCTCCTAGTAGCCCGGCAAGACTGGAGAGGAAGGGGAGTGCCACTCCTATGAAGAAGTTGATGAATCCATAGAAAACTCGGAAACCAGACCGGACCCAAATTGAGCAGGGACGGTTGGTACGACTAGTGTAACCAGCTTCAAAACTGTCAAATACAGGCATTGAGTATATCTGGAAACTGCTCAAACAATTAAACACAACTAGGAGGAAACACATTGCAAGAAGTCCTCTAGGGATGTCATGACTGTGGAATCCGTACAAGGCATTGAGAATCCCTCCAGAAGGCATCTGTAGAAAAACAGAACATACGGAACAATCAACGAGACTGAAAAATGCAACAACTTATGAAACTTGATGAAATGGCTGAAATCAAGTCATCCATGATACCAATATGCTCCTTACAAGGTTGGTAAACTTACAAGGTTTCCATAAGCCCAAAAGCCTCCAATTGCAACAGGGAACAAACACATTGCAATGAAGAAATAGGCAACCTTGGCTCCTTTCCACATGGGCACATGAGCTGGGTGTTTAAAGGTTGATGGCATTGTTGCCTAATTCGGGTAAATGAAATTCTGTTAGATAAGAATTAAAAGTGCAAATTCCCAACTTAAGTAATTATATATGTTTTTTTTTTTTTTTTAATAACAAAGAGAATAT